CAACAAACAAAACTCTTACAACAAGTCTAGCGAGAGCTAGACAAGTGAGGTTATATTTAAGTGGAAGCTACATATATATCACATGTAAACACGCCGTTTCAGTTAAAAAAAAAACATTAAAATAGTTCAATTTTTTTTTTCTAAATGCCACATTCTCAGTCATTGCATCTTTGGTTACAATAGTGCTCTCTTACTGTATCATTTTAGAAATAAAATAGAATATATTGTCTCTGAATTTTATGGCATATGTCGTTAAACCCAGTGGCGACTGCATTCCAAGCTCTTGCACAACTACAAAAGGCTGACAAAGCATAATGGAAGTTCTACTTCCTTGTCAAACCTTATTTAGGATTTAAAAAAAAAATCATTAACCCAATATCACCCCTGGTCTTCATAACAAGAATCTATCAAGTTTCTACCGAATTGCATATTTCCTAAAAGCCCTTGAGAAACTCGTATAGAAACAATGGAAGTTCTCTTTTGAAAATCAGACGTTGATATAAAATACATTTATTTTGCCCTTTCTACCAGCTAGCTCTAACATAGGTTTCTGTTCTCACTTAGAGTGTTAAGCTAAGATAGAATGTATGACCTGTTATTACCAATTTTAAGAATGGAATCTGGGCTTTTTTCGGCATACAGAAGATTTTCTGGCTTCAGGTCACGGTGAACAATGCCATTGTTATGTAAATACTTGAAATGAGAAAATAGAATATTAGTTTCCCATTAACATAAAAAATTCAAACAATACTTGTATCCAAATTAGAATGTCAGAATTCAAAGTGAATTCAGCTATGCTTCCAGTTCAGCTACATTGGCCTAAAATTTAAATTTCACTTTGAATTCTCACTTTAGTTAAATAACCCTGTCTGCGTTTGCAGAAACAGTGCTTGACTAAAAATCAGATTGTAAAATGTTTTATTAAAAAAGCAATCACTATTTTACATTATAATTTGTTCAGCTGCACATGACATAGTCTTATAGATGCTGGTCAGCACAGATTGTTCCAAGCATCAGGTTCTTTTCCTAGCTATACCTTTGTAACCATAAAGTTTAGAATGCACAATAAGTTTTTTTTATATCCCATTGTAACGTAAGCTTTACACACTTTAAATTCCCTTTATGCATAGGCTTCACACACTCACAGAAGTATTCACTAAAATCTAAACTGGAGAGAATTCAAAGTGAATTGAAATGTTTTGATTATAAGAGCTGAATTTGAAGGGTTGTCCAGTCAACTATGATTTCCAATCAACTATTTTGGCTTTGAATATTTAAATATTCCTTGAATCAAATTAGAATTCTTGACAATTAAAACATTAGTGAACTACCCTAACAGAGTAAGATTTACATTTCACTTGCATTTGCGTTAGCCGCCCAACAATAATTTCTTATAAAACTATTTTGTTTAACAGTTTTTACAATGTAGAGCTACAAATATCCCATAGCTGTAAATCAGAATACAAAATGTTGTTGGTTAATTGAGTCTGCCTGTAAGGTACCTCCAAAAGCATTGTGTTCTAACTAAACAGATGCAAAATACAAATCATGGAAGATTGTTTAGAAATATACAGGAAATAAAATTCATGAATTGTCAGACTGATCTAGGTTATTAATATTACAAGTTGGGATAAGCCAATGTACTTCAGTTAGTATAATTATAAACTCACAAAGACTGCTTCCAGAATCTGTTGCACAACACAGGCTGCATCCTGCTCGCTGTAATACCCACGTTCAACTATCCTAGAGATTTCAACAGAAAACTAGTTTAGAGTTTTGCAAACATCTGGCATGTTAGAAGAATAAAAATAGTAAGTAGTCAACTGCACAAGAACTGTTGCACCGTCTTTTTATACCATTATATCATACTTAATATTATGCTTAAAGAGAGTACTAATATAGGTGTGTTGTGTCTTTCAGACTATTACAAATTTAAAATAGTGTAAACACACTTTCTTTTAAACCATAAAAGTGCATGTGGATTGCTAAAGTGTCTTTGTACAAAACTTGATATAGTCCCAATAATGTGCAGTACCTATGCCAAAGTCCATATAGTGAAAAATTAAAACACTTATCTGAGGATGTGAGGAAGTTGATTGGCGAAACGCATCATCACGCACACGCCACGGCACGTTACATCGTCACATGGATCGAGGAAGTGCTTGTGTTTGATATCGGGAAGCCGTTGGCGGACTGACAGGTCTGGAGACTCTAAACACGGGATATCCATAAGAGAGAGGAGTACTGGGGATGTTTTTTTTTTATCGCTTTTGATGCAAATAAGGTATTGAGAACATACCTATTGCTGGCATCCTTTCCTGCACTGTTGACGTGTTAAGGGATCTGTCCAAGATGATCAGTTAGAGCAGGCTCATCTGCTCTTCGTTTGTGAGTGTTCCATCACATTATTTTAGTACCTATTGTGATAAAGTGAAGGCAGATAGGCCTATAACATTTAATCCCAGGGGTAGTATGTGTTGTAGGCAACACAAACCAACGTTTAGTTATGGGCCCCTGGGGTGGAGCATTTGTAGAGCAGGGTGGGCCAATGCTCCACGCCGCAGTTTGCATACAACTGGGAGAAATAAGTTCCAGGCCAGAGTTTTGATCTGTCTCCAACCCACTGCTCAGCTGCAGATAATCAGCTGCAGCAGTGGGAATAAAACCCTCCCTGCTAGGCAGGTAAAGGGGGATTGTTGGCTGTCTCCCTGGAAGCAGGAATGTGAGTGAGTCAAGGAGACTGAACACTGGGAGTGCAGAAGGAAGCAGTCAAGGCTGGCTTGGAGCACTGGGAGTGCAGAAAGGAAAGCAGCAGGCTAGCTGAGAGCACTGGAGTGCAGAAAGGAGAGATAATTTTGTTTCTTTCTAGAAGGAATGGAAGCCACATGCTAACTGAGTGTGGAGTGCAGAGATCTGACAAAGACACTAGGTTGGTGAAACCAATTATTGTTCTGTTATAGTTTCAACCCTTGAGAGATAGGGAACTTGATGTTAGTAAGTTTGTTTAAAGGGATTTGTGTTACTCTTTTTTTCCATTTGCTGCTGTATCTGTGGTGGAGTTTAACAATAACGTGCCTGGAATTAAGTTGCCTTAAAAGACTGTGCATGTTTGTGCCCAAGAGGACCGTGCTACCTGCAGACAAGGATCACACTATACATCTTACATGCAGAATTATACTATGTATCTTTCTCTGTTTTTTTTTTTTTGTCTTTGAGCTAAACAGGGCCGGTGCTACCTGTTAGACGGACTAGGCAGCCAGCCCCCCTCATGCTGCAGCCGCCAGAGCGCTCTGTAGAGAGCCTCAGGCGGCTGCAGCTTTGCCCGGGCTGGTGCGTCCATGAGGGCGCACCGCCCGGGTGCAGCATGAGGAGAGGGGCTGACAGGAGGGAAGCGTTCAGCGCTCCCTCCTGTCACTCGCTCACTGTAGCGTGGCTGAGCTCTGTATGGTCCACGGGTACAGGGAGCATCTGTGTCCACTTCCTTTTAGTCCGGCCGGGTACAGGAAACAAAAGCTCCCTGTATCTGCGGACCATACAGAGCTTGGCCACGCTACAACAGAGGTAGCGGAGGGGGGAGAAAGAAAGAAAGAAATTGACAGGGGGGGAGAGAAAGAAATTGACAGGGGGGAGAGAGAGAAATTGGCAGGGGGGAGAGAAAGAAATTGACAAGGGGGGAACACGGGGGGGAGAAAGAAATTGACAGGGGGGGAAGAGAGGGACAAGGGAAGGGGGAGAGATTGACATCCATCACACATACACACACACACAATCACACACAATGCACCCCTTTCACACAAAGACAATGCAACCCTTACACACAATGCATCCCTTACACATACACACAAACACACAATGCATTCCTTACTCAATGCACCCCTTACACACACTCAATGCACCCCTTACAGACACACACACTGCATCCCGTACATACACAGAAACACACCTTGCAGCCCTTACACATACAAACACAGATTCACACAATGCATTCCTTACACACATATCAGGACATCCCCTACACACTCCACCTCCTGTGAACAAACTCATTGGTGGAACATGAAGGTGGACGCTGGGATCCAGACCTTAAGCTGTGTAAAGGGCCCCAAAAAATTGGAGCTGCTTCCCGTTCTCCCAGAACATTGATTTTTGTGACCACAGTTACAAACAGCCTCCAGAGATCCTGTTCTACAGACCAGTGGAGCCAGACTGCAGCTACAGCCCATCATCATCCTCATCTGGTTGTAAGTAGGCAATCTAGTATATTATTCGTGGCACTAATCTCTAATTTACCTCACATTAAAGAAACACTATAGTCCCCAGAACCACTGCAGCTTAATGTAGTGGTTCTGGTGTCTATAGCCTGTCCCCGCAGGCCTTTTAATGTAAACACAGCGGCACTGCAGCACTGGCGTTAGTTAACATGGCAGATCATATGGGTGGGGCATTGTGATGTCACATGGGGGGTGGGGCGGCAAACTTTACTTTTGCCTAGGGCGGCAAAAATCCTTGCACCGGCCCTGGAGCTAAAGTAAGTGGAGGATACATAGGTGCCTACAGTTTTAAACAACTTATTGTAAGTATTTTAATTTTTCCCTATATGGACTTTGGCAGAGGTACTGCAAATAATTGGGACTATATCAAGTTTTGCACAAATACACTTTAGCAATTCATATTCACTTCTATGGTTTAAAAGAAAGTGGGTTTACACTATTTTAAATTTGTAATAGTCTGAAAGACACAGCACACCTATATTTGTTTATTGGATTGTTGGAGTGTATACATAGGGGCTATTGCACTGTAGGTGCTATTTTTGCAAATTTTATAAGAAATTTGCTTGGACATTATTGTAGTGCCATTTGTTACTTGTTGTTTTACGCGTTTTTATTTGGACTGTTTACCCAGTCAATGTGTATCCCTTTTGGTTTATACTGTGCTTGTGTATATTTTCACAGTTCCTTTTCTCCCTCTCTTCCAGGGAGGACGCATGAAATACATTAGGAATACGCAAGGCCGGAGGGAGTGCCAACGCATATGACACAGGATTGATTTTCCTAGAGATTACATATGGGCCATAGTATCTTGGAGCCAACTTCATAGTCGGCACTTTCAATCTGAAGTTGCAAGTGGAAAGCCAGACCTTGTCCCCGACAACATAACTAGGTGTCATAGAATGGCGTTTGTCTGCATGACTTTTATGACGAGAGGAAGCCAAAGACAATGCACGCTGTACAAGCTTCCTCCTGTCTTGAAGATCATGAAGGTGTTGATCGAGAACCAGTAATCCAGTTTCATGAAACTGAGAAGGGATAACAAGGGGATGTCTGCCATATGTAATGAAGAAAGGGCTATGCTGTGAGGAGTCATGTGTAGTATTATTATGTGTGAATTAAGCACAAGGAAGAAGGTCATACCAGTTGTCATGGTTATGTGATATGAAATATCACAAGAAGCCGTCTATAGGTTGATTAACCCTTTTTGTAGCCCCATTTGTCTGGGGGTGATATGATGAGAAAAAGGCAATGAAACCCCAAGTTCAGAACAAAACTTCCTCCAAAATTGTGATATAAACAGTGTCCCTCTATCAGATACGATTTCTTGTGGCAACCCATGTAATCTATATATCTCTTTAATAAAGATCTGGGCCAGCTCAATAGAGGTAGGCAGTCTACAGAGAGGAATTAAATGGATCATTTTCGTAAAACGATATATAAATGGTGGTATGTCCCTTAGATGGTGGTAGATCTACAATGAAGTCCATCACAATGTGGGACCAAGGTTCTTCAGGGACGAGGAGTGGCTGTAAGAGACCACAAGGTAGTTTACGAGGGGTTTTGGTCATAGCGCAAACAGTCCATGCCTGAACATAATGCATGTAAAGAAGGCCACTAAAACTGTCT